ACACGAAAGCGCGACGCCGATGATATGTTTGCGACCCATTCAAATGGATAAGGGCTCGTATTGGGGTGGGGGGTGGAAGGGGGAGGGGGGGTGCTGCTATCAGTGTGCCGTGCCTCCAAACAAAGACGAGTGAAACATGAGAAGCGGTACACTGCCATCTGGTGAGTGGAAAGCAAGGGGCTGCACACACTTCAAAGTCTCTCATTAAAAAGCCAAATTCTTGTTGGAGACCCGAAACCGTATTCATTGAAACGCCGACCCCTCCTTGTCACCTGAACTTAAAACTGCACCCCAGACTTTCACGTGCTACTTGGATACCGCAACCATTGTTTAAAACCCAACCCTGTTTGGAAACCAGAACAGATTCTTGAAACATCAGCTCCTGACTTGAAACCCGAGCACTTTGTTGAGGTACTGCTTTGATACCGTAACTATTGCTTGAAACCCAACCCTACCCTTTTTTAAATTCGTGTTGGAAGTCAATGTTAGGGTTTCAAAGGAGTGTTTCAGGACAGGGTTAAGGTCTCAATTAAGGATTAGAATTTTAAATGACATTTTGAAGGTAGAGGTTGAGTTAAAATTGAGTTAAAATTACATTTGTCGAACATGAATTCAGCATCACAACCCACCTGTTGTTATTCATCTCAGGGGGTGGCCATTTTGCTTTGCAACGACACATACTGACAACTAAAAATGACATCACAGTGCAGGGCTCAGCATGATTACCAGAGGATACCACACACAATAATCTGTCACAAATTCAGATTTTTATTTATTTTTTCATTTATTTAAATCTGTGTATCAGGCCTAACCCTGACTTTCTAAATCAAGCTTTGCCAGTTCTGGGAAACGTGCACATGCGCGAAGAAGGAACCTGTATAAAACACTTCCCATTGAACTGGAATTTAGAATATTCTGGATATTAATCTCCATGAAACTCTAACAACATTTTTATGAGTTCAAACTCTCCAAAAAGCACGTCACGGCCTTGGATGATTCATCTCATCTCAGCACATCCCCGAGTGGGTGCCATTCTTAAGGCGGCGGTGACATTTCAGTATGAGCTTGATTGTGTCACGCAGACGATACACATTAGTCATGGCGATGAGAGCTTTATACCAATGAAGTGGTGATGTCAAAAGAGGATGAAAGCCCGATATGTTTACGATACACATCAAAGCTACGTTGTTCCAGACTTTTGAGGGGAAAAAAAATTGAACCGTGAGCATAAACGCATCCATTTTGTGGACCGTATCACCACTTGCTAGATGGATTTAAAGCTTGGTCAGTCGCTCTGCGGTGGGCCTTTTCACAGTCGTGCATTTGCGCTATGCTGGAAAGGTCAGATGCCATTTCCGCTATGTTGCGAGCTACAGGGACACCATCTGACTGAAAAAAAAAAAAAAAAACGTATTGTCAAATGTGCATTAGCCAAGTACTTTTTGAGGTCATAATGGGATCTTTTTAAAGACAAGATTGCGCCTCCAGCATGACGTCAACGTCAACTCGCTTTTGAGTTTGTGACTTGACTTGAGCACATTTTTCATATTGTCACTTTGAGCTTACAAGCAGACCAAAAATGGACATTTTGGTCTGCTTGACTGGTTACTTCAGGGATCGACCGGTCGGTAGCCCATAAACTGGTTCCAAGTTAATCGCGGGAGAATAGAGGAAAATGGGGTTGAAAAAATACATTTGTGTATCGGTGTGACTGTTATTAATATTCTATATTTTTGTGTTAGTGTGCACTGCCCCCCCAAGCATCCTATCAGTTTAATTTTCCCTCCAATAAGCATAAAAAAAAAATCAAATTAAAAAAAGCAGGTCACCTGACCTACGGTGGCGCTTGACCTCCATCACCAGAAGTTGTTAGCGCTCAGCAATTGCACCTTGCGATCGGAGCTATTGCGATATATCTTTTTATTTATTTATTTATTTATTTTAATTATCATCATTCAGTTTGTTTCATCTGCTATTCACCGATTGCACTGGCAAAGAGTGGCAATCTGAAGGGTTCGGAAAAGCATTTTAAAACGGTACGCGTGAGCTAAAGATAGTCGATGTTCATGCATTTAACACGCTGCAAAATTGTAAGCTGTGATTTCCTTTTCATAAACTCACACACTCTTGTATCGACTTTATTTTTCTGTTTCGTTCATGTTTGGGGGCGTGTGTGTGTGTGTGTGTGTGTGTGTGTGTGTGTGTATACGCGCGTGTGCGGTAACGGGTCGATCTCGGGAGGTTGGTTGATTGAAAAGTCGATAAGTCAAAAAATGTTGGGCAGCCCTGCTCTAAAGGATGCATGGCAGGGAAAAAACATTTAATCGTGAAGGCTCATTGTGTATTTGTAGCCAACTTAGTCATTTTGATAGTAATATAGCTAACATAGATCCATACAGCAATGTGTTGTCTTCACTGTAAGGCTTACATAAGACTTTTAATTTTTTGCGGCTTCAGACATATTTCTTTTTTGTTTTTTGGTCCAATATGGCTCTTTCAAAATTTTGGGCTGCCAACCCCTGGTAAAGGGGAATAGGACATTGTTAATTCTTTCATTCCACACGTTCATGTTTGGGGGCGTGTGTGTGTGTGTGTGTGTGTGTGTGTGTGTGTGTATACACGTGCAGTAATGGTCGATTACGGAAGGTTGGTTGGCTTGACCGATAGATCTTTGGTCAAAAAAATGTTGGGCCCCCATGGGTTTCTTATTTGAGCATGAAAGACATGCAGAATTGCCTTTTCAAGGACCTCAACAA